ATGGGCTGCGGAGCTCCCTTCAAGTGTGGAACTGCTTCCTGGTCTGGGCTGCCGCGCTGGTGGGATCCCAGGGCTTTTGTTTGTTTGTTTGTTTTGAATTGTTTGTTTGTTTTCTTTTCCTTTTCTTGCGTTGGGAGCCCATTCTGGCCAGGTGGTGCTGCTTGGCTTGGGACCTGCCCCCTCAGCTTGCGCAGATGCGCAGAGGGACCCTGAGAGCATTTCTTTTTTCCTGGGTTTTTTTTGTTTGTTTGTTTGTTTCTGTTTTTTGGGGGGCTTTTCTTGTTCTTTTTTTTTTTATTTGTTTTGTTTTCTTTTCCCTTTTTGTCTTTCTTCATTACTCAGTTTCTCATCTCTGTATACCTTCTTTCCCTTCCTGTTCCCTGAATACCTGGGACTGATTAACTCTATGCCTTCTAGCCAGGCTGTACTTCAACACCTGAGAACAACTTCCCCAGACCTCGTAGCTGCACTGGTGGGATCCCTGGGAGCTTTGCTGTTCCTTTTCCTTTCTGATTTTTATTTATTCATTCTTTTCTTCTTCTTCCCCTTTTTGTTTTTCTCCATTTCATAGTCTCTCATCTCTCCACTCCAATGGCAAGCTCCCTAACAATCTTTTTTGTTTGTATGTTTTTGGCTCCTGTTCTTCTCTCCTCTCTCCCATATCCATCTTAGCTTCACCCATAACAATCTCCCCCCTACATCCTGCCTACCTGCACCATGAACTTAACATCACCCCACCAAGCAGCACAGGCAAGGCCTACTGGAACTTTTCCTGCACTGATTACCGACCCGCCCTGGTGGCTGTAGTAAGTGCCACAAACAAACCATCCCAGTAACTCCTGTTCAGCTAGACCTGCCCTGCTGTACAATATCTGAACGACTGACCCTATCAATTGGAGAAGGAGGCGAAAAGTGTCATGCCCACAGATGAGCAAACAACAAAGAACACACAGCCCGCCCGCTCAGACAACACCAAATAAAAAAAAGGACAAAACAAGCAAATATACAATCAATAAACAAGAAAAATAACTACTGAATTCCCTGGAGACAGCAGACAATATCAAAACATTTACAAAAACAGGACAGGATGCTTCCAATAGGCGTCGAAAATAAAACACCAGATGACTTTCCAGTAGAAGAAAATGCAGTAGAACTACCTGATAGGGAATTCAAATCTCTAACACTCAGAATTATCCAACAGTTGAAGCAAAAAGCAGACAAAAAAGAGGAAAACATGGACAAAAAATTGAAAGAATTCAGGAAAATAATGCAGGAAAAAAACGCCAAACTAAATTCACAACTAGAAATTATACAAAAACAATTAACAATCCAAAAGATAAGCAACAAGATTTCAGAAATGGACAGTGTCATAGAAGGGCTGAAGAGCAGGTTTGAAACAATGGAAGATAGGATCAGCAAAATCGAAGACAAACGCTTGCATACAACTCTGTTTGAGGACAACTCAGAAAAAAGAACAAAGAAAAATGAAGAGACCCTGAGAGTTACGTGAGATACAATCAAAAGCAAAAATCTGTGATTGGAGTTCCAGAACAGGGGAAGAAAACAGAAAACAGAGAGGATCACTGAAGAATTGCTGACAGAAAATTTCCCCAATATCATGAAAGATGAAAAGCTGGCCATCCAAGAGGCTCAAAGAACCCCATATAGAATAGCCCCCAAAAGAAAATCACCAAGGGATATCATAATCCCACTCACCAAAACGAAAGACAAACAAAGAATCCTGAGAGCAGCTCATGAAAAACCAGAAGTCACATACAGAGGAGAAACAATAAGACTAAGCTCAGATTATTTGGCAGAAACCATGCAGGCAAGAAGGCAATGGGATGACATACATAAAACCTTGAAAGAGAAAAATTGCCAGCCAAGAATAATATATCCTTCAAAACTCTAGTTTAAATATGGTGGCGAAATTAGGTCATTTCCAGATAAACAGAAATTAAGGGACTACGTAAAAACCAAAGCAAACTTACAAGAATTATTAAAGGGAGTCCTTCAATCTGAGAACAAACAACTTCAGCTCACAGGCTGAATCTAGACGCAGGATCGTAGCAGCCAGATACCAATCTAGAAAATAAACTGTCAAGGACTAGCCAAAACCAAAAGAAATACAACAGGGAATCAGAGAAGCCAATTGGTAAATGTCAACAATATCAGAACAATAAAAGAGGGAATAAATGGTGTAGGTATAGAACCTTCTAATGGAGAGGAAGGCAAGGTGATACCAATAATAGAATGCTTCAGACTTAGAAAGATAAGGGTAAATTTCATGGTTACCAAAAAGAAAGTTAACAAACATACTCATAAAAATAAAGAGGAAAAACATAAAGTCTCAGCAAAAACAAAACCAACAAAAACAAAAGAAATGTAAAAAAAAATCCACAGACAAAAGTAATTCAGCACAGGAGAGAAAGAAGAACAAAGAAAATGTCAGCACCACAAAAAAAAAGCACTACAAAATGACAGCAACAAACTCACATCTATCAATAATTACACTGAATGTAAATGGACTCA